AATGCCATATGATGACTTTTTTTCCTATGGTCTAAAACTTAAGATTCTGTATGTCCTGCCTATTTCTCTTTTGCTTAGAATTGCCTTGTAGGCTTCCATGTGCCTATTATTTTTTCCCTTTCTATCAATATAGTTCCACCAAATAAAGCCCCCCAAACCACACACACACACACACACACACACACACACACACACACACACACACACACACAGGCATAGCTAGTTAATAGCATCTCTACCATCTCATTGTTAGTTAAAAAAAAAAAAAAAGGTTGACAACCCATATTTTAGATACATGGTTATCAACCCATTTTTAACAATAATCTCCCAGGTTCTTTTCAGATGTTTTTGTTCACTCTCAAGATTTTGTGTACCATCCCAAGAAATCTGTGCTTTAATATGCGGATAAAGCTAACATTTTATGGAAAAGCACATGAGAGCCACTCATCTGCTAAAGTCAGCCCCATGTAGAATCATTCCAGCACAATCTTATTTTGTTCTCTGATGCAAAAAGTAGCCTCTGAAAATATATTACTATATTTAACTATAATCCACAAGAAAATGTTTTTATGTTCAAAGACAAACATTTTGCATTTATTTACCTGATTTACATTACAAATTTTCAAATAAGCCACAAAGTATAAGCCCACATTCAACATCCCTAAAAATTCATGTATTATCTAGCAAATATTCAAAGTGGTGACTGTACCATTGAGATTCCTATATTTTTATATCCCGCAGGAAACATTTGCATTACAGAGCTGCTCTTCCCTTAGTACATTTGCATTTCCATATGCAAAACTTCTATTAAAGTTAATGCAAGGAACAAACATAACTCATTTGGCATAATGATAAAAGAAAAAAACAAATATACCTAGACAAGTGTATCTCAACCAGAGGAGATTTTGTTCTCTAGAGGACATTTGGCAACTTCTGGACATCAACATGATGGGTGAGGGGCGCTACTGACATCTAGTAAGGAGAAACCAAGGATGCTGATAAAAAAATCCTCCAGTGACAGGAAGTCTCCTCAAGACAAAGAATTATCTTGTCCAAAGTATCACTAGGGCCACCTGCTGAGAACCCTGGCCCAGAGAAAAGTAAAGTGTTCTCTAGTCAATATAAATTGGCCATAATTATTATAATTTCCATTATTATCATTTCCATTCCCACTTGAGGAATGAAGCCTTCCATCGTAGTAGTATAACCCTATAACGGGAGTGAAATATACTTTTCTCATACTCAGAATCTTCCACTCTCATCCTCAACCCCTAGGGAGAGCTTTGCTTCTCAGTGAAGAAAATATGATTAATTATGACAGACCAGCATCGAATCCCCATTTATGAACTAACACGTTGCAGTGGCATTTGTGTTCTGTGGCACATTGCCTTGTGTGAATGTTCAGCTTTGTTACTCAACAACTTTGTTTTTCTGAAAAGAAAGTCATTGCATGTTTACTTGAAAAAGTAGTCATTTCAGTATCTATATAATTATTACTTCTAATAAGACTTGTATTTCCATTTCATCTCTTTCTAAATTTTGATGATTAAAAATTAGTTGATAAGATACTAAAGTGTGGCCCAGTTTCTAAAGCAAAATATGCTTTTGATAAATGAATGTATTTGATGGTGCCATTCAAAATCTCTTAAGTTAGCTCCAGAAGTGTTTTCTCATGTGTATGTTAGGACTTTTTTTCTTTTTTAGCCAAGGGATGTTTCTAGACTTCCCTGGCAAAAGGTATCATTCACAATTTGGCATAATTTTGCAATGTAAATTTAACAATGGGAAAATGTTGCCATGTATTCATAATTTGTCTAATGACATAGAAATAGCAGATTGGGGGCAGTGCATTTTTGCACTACCCGACTGGAAGTTCCATTGAGTTATACCCTCAGTGCTCTCTGTAGAATGCAGGCGGGTGACGCACAGCTGCACTCCCTGGGCCTGAAGATTCTAGGAAAGGCAGCTTGGTGAGCAGCCTCATGGTCTCTGCTGCGTTTGATCATAGATGTCTTTATTAAGAATGCAGATTCTGCACACCTACAAACTCTGATGTTAGCCATGGATTTCTTCATAGAGCATTAAGACAACAAATATCAAACCCAGTTGTTACAGATTAGTCTACACAAGTGCCAGGAAAAATAACCACGTTCATCCTCATTGTGCTAATTTCTCTGTACTTTTTTTTTTTTTTTGCCTAAGGGAATGCAATTTTCTATGAATCTGAATTCATTATATTATATAGTATCCTAGATCTTCTACATTATTATTTAAATTATGACAATCATGGAGAAAATTCAGATCTTGATGATATTTAGCTGAATTTGGAACCCCTGAAATACACACCTGCAGACTGTCACATAATTCTGGTTTAATTCCTTTTTGTAAAACTAATTTTTTCTGTTTCACTTAGGTGTGTCCCCCGTGTTTTGAGACTGAAACACATGCTCTTAACAAGTAGCAAGTGGCATGTGAGTTGGACCCTAAGATCCACTTAAGTTTTATTATTTCATGCAAGTATTCATCTTTAACTGAAGAGATGGCTATTGTTCAAACAGTTCAGTCAAAACATATGTAGAACTAGAAAGTAAACCAAATTATGACTTTCTAAATACATCTAAGACTCGAATTGTTAACCTTAGGGTAGTGTGGCACATTTTTGGAACAAAGACTTTCTACTTGTTTAATTTATAGAAATACCCATTTCCAGTAACATCCCCATATTTTGTGTGATGTTTAAAATGTTAATCTGAGTATTATTTTTTTAATTTTTTTATTTTCTTACAAAAACTGGAAAGCCAAGTTATAAGTAAATTTTAAAAGCTTTGTTTAATACAAATATTGGTATTTTGAATATCTTGGTATTTTAAATATCATATCTATTATGTCTTTAAAAACTAGTATTTATGGAAATACGTTCCTATAAAAATGAGAAGATAGGATTTTTTCTATCCATTTTTTAACAGGACAGTGCTAATAATGGGAAAAGAACTTCTGGTTTACTACACAGCTTATGAAATAGTTTACCTCCTTTTCTTCTGGATAACGCCTTTGTTCTGGTTAAAACTATTGAACTGTGAGTAATAAATAATTGGAGTATAAAAAAGTCAAATGGAGATTGCACTTGTACACAAAAATAGTATTCATTTATGTACAAACTTTGGGTTGGTTTACATACTTTACACAGATAAAGAGGTCAGAAGATACATTAACAAAGAAAGTTTTGCTATATGAATAATACACTTAGGCCAATTTCAATATATATTCTTGGCTATGTTGGCTACATTTTACTATGCATATATTTTCATGATTGTATACCTTCTGAAACATTTATAACTACTTTCTGAGAAAATACTTCTTTGTCTAAATATATGAAAAATGATAATTAAGGCAATGGTACTTATAGAAAATCTGAATGATTTAGAGCAGATTATTTTCTGGGCTTCATTTTCTTCATCAAAATATGAGAGTTGTATTAAACAGCTGTATGTACCAATTCTATGATTTTCTTAATTACCATGAAAATATAAAAGACAAAGACAAATTGTGAGTTGAAACCACCAAGATTGTAGTGAATATTATGTAAGGTAAACAGGAAACTATGTTTATCATTTTATTGGTGATCTGTTTCTATTAAAATTCATGCTTAAAATTACTCCCATTTACAAATGTGCCTGACACCCATATATGCACACATGTTCTTTAAAACCATTTTAGGAAAGGAGATTTTTTAAAAAAAAACAAAACAAAATCTACAAAAGAGCATGCTCAAAAATGAACTGTCCCTAGTGGATCAAGGAGGCCTTTTGAGATGCAGCGTCTCCTTTCCAAACACGCTCTTTGTTTTCTAGGGGCACCCAGCATGAAACACTAGTCAGAGGCCAAGCAACTACTCTAAAAAAATGTAAGGAATTAAAGAAATGGGAAGAAAGAAATAAAGTATGAAATTTTCAGATACAGATAAAATCAAATGGAAAGTGGGAGGCACAGGAATGGGGGAGGAGAATTTATAATAACAGGAAAAGGGTTCTGGCGAGGAATCACCATGACGTGGAACATCTTCAACCCCGGGGACCTGGGGTTGATTCGCAGTTAGACTCAGAAGCGTCTTCTTCCCAGACTGGGAGCCCGAGTAGCCCTGGCTCGAATTGCCTGACTCCAACAGCTGATGAAGTTGCCACCACAGAAACAGAAATTACAGCTTTCAACCCTTCATTTTATCCCTCTTACCTATAATCCTCTAGTTCCAGTCTGTCTGACCACTTGACAAAGGTTTTTTTGGTTGTTGTTTTTTTTTTTCTGTGTGTGTATGTGTGTGTTGTTTTAAATTAGTGCAGCTTTGGAGGAACATTTAAATATGCTTTACACACACAGAGCAGTAGACAGCCCTGGAAACTCTTGATGAGAAAAAAAAAAAATATATCCTGCCGGGAACATAAAAGGGCACACAGGGCACACGATAATGATTCCTGTAATTGAGATTGTCATGTGTCTTATTAAACGCCATCATTTACCTGGAGGTCTTGCTTAGAAAAAACGCTAAGATGCTTTATGGATTTTACATCCTTATGTTTTTCAAAGCCTTCCTGATCTGTTTTCATGTGTGTGTTGTTTGGTTAGGTCCTTCAGAGGGCTTCAAGGTTTACTTTTATATTTAAAAAGAGCGAAGATGAAAGCTATTATTTGAATACAGCATTGCATTCAGTGGCACCAAGATGCTCATTACATCTGCCCCGATGAGACGGTGGAAGCGCCTCCTGGAAGCCAGCCTCCTCGAACGGGTACTTAGGTGCCCTGCCTGCTGCTTTGCCTAAGTGATGTGGCGTATGTTTGATGACGGGGCAGTAAACACCATCAATTATAAAAGGCGTCTGCTAATAAGAGGAAGAAAAGGAAGTGGGGCGGAGAGAGAGAGAGAGAGATTGAAAAAAGAGGAAGGAGAAATTCTCTGCGATGGAGAGAACAAAGCATTTTGATTGAACTAAAAAGAAATGTCGTACCTTCACCATGCCTTGATTTTAGGGCAAGCAACTAAGCAAGCTCTCTGCTATTCTTTGGAGACATGACATGTTTCCTCATCTATTTGCCTTCGGTTTCCTTCATGGACTTGTTGGTAACTTTTCCAAGATCTCTATCAAAACAAACAAAAAAAGATATTATGTGAAGCTCAGGTCATGCTAAGCAAATTAGCTAAAATTCATTTTTACCCTCTTAGATGTTTTCCAGTCCAACAATCAGTAGGAATTTGCCAACTTTTCACATCCTAAATTCACCCTCTTCTAGAACTACTCATTTAGTTCCAGAAAACATTTTTTGTGGGTTTTTATTCCTCCATAAATAAGCTTTGTCAATAACAACCAGACAGCCCTGAAAAGATAAACTAGTTTTGGCTACCTCTGGTTTGCTAATTGAATATAAGGGTTAGTTTTCCTTTGAATTCATTTTCTCTGTGTAAAGATGTTTACAAATATTAAATAATATTAGCATAATTATTAATGAAATCTAGATTTTATTCTCAAACATCTTAAATATATTTTTATCATCTAATTTCTCTAAAGAGACTAATTTATCTATCTAATCATGCTATGCTATCTTTATTCTAGTCTATGATAATATTTGAATTTTCAAATAAGAAAATATTGCATGTGATTAAGCAATGTGATTTCTTCCCTTTCAATTAGACTAAATGAAGACAAGCAAATGTGTTTATTTCTTTTCAGTGTTGAAGTAGAGAATCCTGATATTCTGTTTAAAAAAATGCTATAAGAGACACTGTTTAGAATTTACAAGTTTGTTGATCTTCTTAGGTTAGTCATTATGTATCCTTTCTTCAGGAATATATTTCTATTACTTCTATTTCAAAAGACTATCAGGATTTTCTTGAATATTTTCCATATTATTATGCAACATGTTTTCTTCCAATAATATTCTGTGTTCATTGGCACCTGGGGTAGGGTCAGGGACTGCTTAGGAAGCACAACTGAAGAGGCGTGCGCCGCCTGGCTGGCTGACCCGCAGGAGTGCATTGAACATCGTCACCTGTCTCCCACTGCTATTTCTGTCTTCCGGGCAGAAGCAGCAGCCTTGGCACCATGGAAAGGGGTATAATGTCACCCTTATTGCCTGGCCGGAGTTTCAGTGTCTCTCTGGTTCACCTTGGCTAACTCAGCTACTCCGCATATATCTCTTTAGTAGTCCAAGGACTACCAAAGGGAGGGCAAGTGCATAAAACTAATCAACAATATAAACAAATAAATACAAATAAATAAAGCAGCTCTACTTTAAGAAATTTAAAATCAGACTATCAGATTTAATGTTACAGAATGTTGAAACATTCTGAAAGGTGAACGAATACACCAATCGACTGGTCTCTTGGGGAGTGACAACATAACTTTTGACTGATTTATTTTACCGAATTCGCCAGGGACTCTTGTCCTTACCAATGACGCTGAATTGCTCTGCATATTTACAGTTTAAAAACACAGCAGAAGTCTTATACCTCCCCCCCCCCAACTCCACATGTTAGCATTTTGGAATCAAAGCAGCCTTTGTAGATTGATCTCCAAACAATTTCCTACAATTGGCAAAATTCTTCATATTATAGATAGAGAAACTAAAACTCAGAGTCTCACTAACATTACCAAGTGGCTGAATACCGTTGAACAGTTATGCCTTCAAACTCTAAAACCAGTGCTTCCTTTTGATAATGAAATATTAATAGATGAATACTCAGATTGAGTATTTTAATACCTCAAATGAAATATTAATTTTATTAGTTAATGTTATCAATTTTTTGTTAAATGTTATATAGTAGTCTCCTTAGATTAGAAACAATACCTAGAAATATATTCTGACATGAATATTGTTGTAAGAATAAAGAGTTTGTATAAAATCCTTAATGGGTGTAGGGCCTACCTATTACTGTCTTTTTCCTTTTCTCTGATTAACATTATGAAGTGACTTATTAAGTCTCTTTTCCTCTCTCTGATGTTCCTATTGACTAAAGAAAATTAAGAATTGCAGGAGCTAGAAAAGGGGTTAAAGAGTACAAAATGTGTTCACTATTTTTTTTATTTTGGTGTAAAACAATTTTTTGTAATTAAAATATCCCCCGTGCAATTTCTTGGCCTAGTACCCCTGACAGCTATTATGAATTATATTTTAACCTGTTAATGGGCTAACACATTCTAAAACATGCTAAGTCAAGTTTTCTCCAAGCATGGAGCTCATCTGTGTAGAGCGGAATGCTATTCAGTGGATGTGAGTGGGTGCGTAGCAGGGAGGAGGAAAAGCTTGATCTTCCTCAGTAAATGATGAACTTCCTTTGTCTCCCAGTCCTAGCCTTTGTACCTACAGGCTGCCTGGTGCGGTGTGAGGCCGACCAGACGGCCTCCCTGTTAGATGCCAGAAGAAGGGACTGCGGACGCCAAGGCCCTGGGCACACAAGCTAAAACTTGCATGCTTGGCAAGGCTCAGATGCCAAGGTTTGAATCTCTAATAAACCACTCACTGCCTCTTCAGTAATGATAGCCTGGGGCTACTGGGAGGGGATTCTTTTTATAGGAAACATACTCCTAAGAACTTAGTATTATCTTCCTGAACCCTTTGATTCAATAGGTTTGTTTTTTTTTTAAAGAAAAATGTCCCCCCTTATTTTATAGACGCCGTGATGTGAGCCTGTGTTAATTCTTTATGCAACAGTAGTATGCAATCAACATCTCCCTTCTAAACTCAAGATTCGTCTTCCTTCTTAGCCATGTGCTTAAAAAAATAAAATATCTTGCCATTGAATGTCTTTTTACAGACTGAAAAGACTTTTAGGTTAAACAACATTTGTTAGGCTTTGATGCAATCAAATGCAATTTCAATCTTGAAATATTCAGCCTTGCCTCTCTGCAATTGCACATATGTGTCAGCTTTCAATTTTTCTCACTAGTGTTTTACACATGAAATCTATTTTCCCTGAGAAAATGGAATCTTTGTGTCTTTGTCTCTAAGCGTGCTGCTTTCAGGCATGTTCTGGCAGGGGCTTTGACTGTCGAGGCACTGGGGGAGGGGCCTGGCAGTCATTTGTCAGCTTTTCTTGCATCTGTAATTTCTGGCCACTCAGCAGTATTAGAAGGTCTTAGAAAGGGGGTGAGGAGGGCTGGGGGGGGGAGCTTGTCATTGATGAAAGCCAAACCCCGAATAACTGCCCAATGTTAATGACCAAAGAGAGAAGGGAGAGTCTTAAAAACTTTTATTGTGTTTTAATGAAAAAGATTTTTTGGAAATGGCTAATTTACAAAATTGCACATGGTAACATTTTCAGATCTCAGTTTAGAAAGCCCCTGTCCATATCGTGTTACTGATTTCATTGCTTTTAGCTTGGCAAGGGCTCATGAAACTATTTTAATTTTCCACCAGTGGCTTCTGGTTATTTCTGCTCTTATTTCCTGGTAACAAAGCTGACAGCCCAATTAAACATCTGCATTTTTTAATCTGAATTTCCCCCATAACTATTTTGCTTTTCTTCTAAAACTTCCAGATGTTTTGGCTCCTTTATGATTTTAATGCATGCAAGTATATTTACTCCTATTTCAAAAGAGAGAGAGAGAGAGAGTGCTAGATGGACTGACCAGATGTTTCTATATCAAAAGCTTTGTAATACACCAATAATCAGGTCAGTGTTTTTGTGTCTTTATGGATTATTTATTTTAGAATACATCTTATTGTCTTTTAGCAGTTTACTATTTAAGTCTATCTTTGCAACTTATTTTTATGGGCTGTTAAGAGTTCAGAATTCATACTATGGTCTCTTAACTAATCGTTGTGGCAGATCAAAGTGTCCAACTCTGTCATCTCAGTTCTTAGGGTCTAGTAACAGGAATAGAAGCTGCTGCAATTTTTTAAAATTATTTATTTAATCTGTCTTTTTTTTTCTTTTTCTGAGGCAGATAAGAAGCTGTAAGCTCTATGCAGTAACAATGTATTTTAATTTTGTTTTCAGATTTGTACAAACATTAAAGGAATCATCAGTATTTTGCCTTGAAGTGTCTGGAAAAAGAGTTAAAAAGAGTCTCTAGTACATTTCAAGAAAACCTGTTTCCCATAATTAATAACAGGAAGCTGGGTAAACAGACTTTTGCTAACAAATGAAACTGAAACAGTAACATATACACAGAAACATGGGAAAGAAACAATGTGGCATTGTATGGTTATACCAAAAGAATGGTTCAGCTCAGATATGCTTGTGTAATACTCACATAAAACTCCACAGTAAAAGATTATTAATTATACATTTCTGACCATTTAAACACATGCCTGTAGAGTGCAATCATTTATACCACTGCTTAGTATTTGAAAGTGAACTCAGGCTATTTATTATACATTTAACACTTAGGCAGAAAAAAAAAATCACTATTTCCTGGACTATAGATTTTCCACACAATCAAGTAAACATGAAAGAGGACAATCTTTCTTTTTCTATGAACATTATTATGAGATTTTTAAAGTTCATTTTAGCTACACATTTCTGGAAATGAGAACACATAGTAAGATAAATTTGGTGTGTGTAAGGTTTTTTTGTGGGGCAGGATTGGTATGTATTTATGAGATCTCAGGCAAACAAAATGCAACAGTCATTAAGTAGACAGATCACTGGACAACTTGACCCACTTGTGCTTAGAGGTCTGGACAATGCTCACCTCCGGAAGTCACGTGTCTTTACCTTCCAATTGTATCATAGACTGAGGACTGTCTGAGCTCAGTATTGATCTTGAAAGCAGCAAACTGAGGTGATATGTGGTGTCTCAGATGCTTCTCAGAAACATTGAGCTCAATTTTAATACGGGGAGATTTTTCACAGAATTAGTTGCTTAATTTACAATCAGTTTTTAGGAATGAATTGCTTGACCCTTTAAGTGATCCTTTTTATCACATGTTAAAGGTGATTATGTGAGAACGGTTTAATATAAAAACTAGGCTTATTCAGATGTTTATTTCTGCTTTTGCAGGAAGAACAGGAGAATAAGCAATGATGGCAGAAGTAAGGAAATATTTTTGTTTTATGGTGTACTATATTGCAAATTAAAGGATGTACTTTGGCTATTCTAGAGTAATAAGAACACACCTAAACTATGTCATATGGCTAGAATTATGTACCTTCTTGAGAAGCTTTCTGTAAGTTGTGTCTTAACACCAGGAAAATGGGAATGGAAAGTGTCCTGAGTGGTCGGGGCAGCTGTTTTGACCATGTGTAATATTCATCTACATAACTGACCCAGGAGCTGAAAACCAAATTTATTATTTTCTTAGCCAAGTCTACAGTGGATATAAATAAGGCACGGAAGTTATACTCAGAGCTGACTAAGTCCTATTGCAAATAAATAGCTACTGTTTCATATTTTATATATAATGAGTGAAAGAGAAGTACCTATAACACACTTTACCTCTAGAATCGCATATTTACTGTGGAAGTTGGAACCAACCAAATTAATATCTTGAATTTGAAGAAACAGTTGAATTGGAAAAATTATCAGAGTGGATCTTTGTTAATTGCAAGAGAAAGTAAAACATTTGCTAGGCTGTAAAATTTCAGTGAGTTTGTAGGTGAGCAAGAAAAAACATGTAAAAATTTAAAGTGATTAAAGGTACTTATTGAGATTTTTGTTAAGTATAAAATGGCCTATATATAATTTATTAGGTATGCATCAGTTACAGGATAATTTTTTTAATACAAAATGTAAAAACATCCTAAATTCTAAGAAATGTTAAATACAGTTGTTTTCTGTTAAAACAGTGTAGAAAGAAAGCAAAACCTACAATGTTTGCTATGAGAATGATGCTGTTTGTAGATTGATGCTTTGGAAAATATAGTCTTCAGAATTTTAAGGTAAAGATCTTCTTGGAAAACTTTCAAATATAAACTAGCTTTGAAATAATAACTCAGAGTTTATATGGAAGCAATGAGGATATGTAAATTTTAAAATAATCATTTTTACAGGCAGGCCCATGACCACACTCTATTGTCATGATATTTAAAGTTGTTCTTGGAAATGGTTCATCATAAGATCGTGCAGGTGATATGAGTTACACTGTTCAATGGCTTGATCCCAGAGCCACTCATGTTCGGGTTACTTCTCAGGTAGGTTAGGTTGAATAGAATTGCCAGTGCCTGGAAGCAATAACGTTTCCTCCTTTCTTTGGCTCCATCAGAGCACAATGTACAGTCTTTAGATGAACTCAATGGGAAAGTTCGGTGTATGTATTAAGAGAACAATGAGCTCTGTGCACAATTGTCAGAGTCAGTGACACCTTGCTTGCATATAAAGTACTAACTAATGTTTTATGCCTTGAAAATGAGGTCTGGAAGAAAAACATATTATCGACATGAACCTCAGTATTATACATGCCACTGAACCTGGACCAATATGTTGATTAAAGAACTAATATATATAAAGCAAAGCCCCAAGTTAGACTTATGTCGATGTTCCCGTAGTAACATCTTTTGGTTCCAGTGGTTTGTGTGTGGTATATAAATTTCACTCTTCTGTTTGCTCATCCTATAAACATATGTCTGAAGGTTGAACTGTCGTACTCTCTTCTAGTTTCTATTTGTTTTTTAGTAACCTGCCTTGGAAAAAACTGGAAATCTGTTTCCTGACTTCTGCCTCCTCCTCTTTTATGTATGTATGTGTGTGTGTATGTATGTATTCCTTTGTAAATTTTCTCTGACAGATACTCTAAAGAGATAAAATACATGGGTATAAAAGAAATCTTGAAAAATTAGCTCTTACTTGCATAGTGAGAACTGTGTTCTAACACTTTCGGTAGTCCCTGTAGTCTATCTGGTACCTAGTGAATTTCCAGCACAAGCTGGGAAATTTCTGTTGTGACCGTCAGGTATGAACTGGGCTGATGGGGATCATCAGCGGGGTTTGCTGAAGAGCAAGGAAATCGAATATTGGTGCAATTCTTAGACAAAACTTAGCAGTTTCAATACCTCCTTCCCTGCTGTCTTTTAAGATTCATTGTTATCATCAAATAAAACTGTAAGACTATTCATATTTCCCCAAACAAGGAAGTTCTTTCCAACTTCAACCAGGTTTCTGGAGATCTTTTTATCTTGCGTTGCTGTGTGCTCTCATTAGAACATCCCAACATATTTACTGTTGTTGTCATCATTCTAAACGCTGAAGCCTGTAATATACGCTGAGCCCACTGAAGGAAAGCATGTTATTTTGTTAATAATGTACTAGCAGCAGAAATTATTAAGATTGAAGAGCAGTTTTTAAAAATCTATTCAAATGTGAATAAATGATGGTTTTGATGGGACTACATTGAAGTAACAATTAAAATGGCATTTGTGGTATAAATATAGGTCAGGACTGGGCATGCACATTCCCTCAATATCAGGGATGCTGTTTCTTCTGTAATAAATGATACAATATACCTAAGGTATAAAAATGAACCCTTTTTTTTTCTGGTCTCACCATCAAAGCTAGGTCGTGATCTATTACTGCCCTCCAGCAAGCTTCCTTTTTTCTTCCTCCTTTCCCACCTTTACATGTTGAATTTTACTTGCTTCCAGATGAAGGGTTTATCAAAATCTTAAATATTATACATAACTTCTCCTATGGAAGAAAATTAGAATAATGTGTATGAAACTTTTGGAAATTGACATTGCTCAATTCTACATTCCTATTCTGCAACGGACAAAATATTTCTAAAGTTCTCAGTTACTTCTATCAAAGTGTGATAAATACTCATGTCAGATTGTATATAGAGAATAGAACACAAGTCAGCTCTGCCTGTATCTGTTGTTTCTTCACTCTACAAATGAGTATTCTATATTCATTACAAACAGGATGGGTGCCCCTTTTTGGCAGATCCTACGTCTTCATTGGCTTCCACATTTCATGGGAAGGAAATAGAACCAATAGCCATTGATGAAATATCTGGGAAGAAAGATTTATGGAATAGAAAAACACAGATTGTCTTTTCTTTTTAGTATATTTTGCTCTTTTTCTTGTATATTCTATAGCAGCAAACAGCAATCAAGCCAGACTTGCTATACAAGTTTAAGTTCTATAATTTCAGATAATAAAGCTTATTTTAACAATGTTCATTATGCAAAACCACTCAACACTTATTTGTTTTTCTTTCAGCACAATATACAATTTTCATTATACATAATGGAATGATGTATGTTTTAAAATAATTAGTTCTTACAAAGTTAACACTGTGGATTATAAAATTTGTGGTCAATATATCATAAAGGGAGAACTTCTTTATTTTTATATTAGGTTACTTGATTTCCATCTATAATTTCAAGAATTATCTGGTTATTGCCTTGAAGCTCTATGAGAAAATATTTCTTAGGCTAATTATAAGCTTAGTGAACTTAAATATTTGAGATATTTGTGGTTTTGAGGGGGTAGAGTATTTATTGTTAATGGGATTAGAAAATTCTGGACCCTGGAACTAACAAAACAACCAAATAACCATTTCATTATACTCTCTCATCATAGTTACTACCCTCACTGGAAGCAGAACAGCACAGCACCAAACAGAAGACAAAGGATAACACACTCCAATTTCTACTCTTGCATAATCTTTTGAAAACATCTAAAATTTGCAATCAGGATTTAAGCATGCCTAACTGTCAATAAATCCAATTTTCCAAAAGATAGACTTGAGTATCAATAACTCTGACAGGATAAATTACTCTATCCTCCTTTTAGCAATTCTACATGCAACCATTATAGCATCTTCTGAAACAAGAAAAATCACTCCCCTTCATATTTGCAAGGGAACATGAACGATGAGCTGTGTTTTCATTGGAGGAGAGCTTAGACGACATTTGACCAATGAGGTTATTCCGGGTTGATACACAGAGCCATCTCGCTTGCCTTTAGTGACTGTACATGCTTAAACAGTGACTGTTAATTTCTGTATTTTAATATGTACTTAATCCAGTAAATATGAATAGTTCTGCATAGACAAAAGTGGATGTTTCCTATTTCTTATACTCTTCCATCTCCCATACTTACATTTGCAAATTCCCCTGTGAGCAAGGATTAGCACGACACTGGGAATTGGAATGAAAAGAAGGATCTAAGATAAAATACCTTAAAAGAGATGACAGATCTCATCTTTGATGGGACAGAAAAAAGGTTAAAAATTCTCTTTGGACATTTGAAAAATGCTCTCTCTGTCTCTCTCTCTTTTCTTAAAGAATAAGCAATTGGTAAGAGTCACCAGTTTATCAATTATTTATCCTTGCAAGGCTAATGGAAGGCTTCTCCTTACTCAGATCATCGAACTTAAATGATTATTTAGGAGTCAAGCCCACAGAAAGCAAGGACTGTGTTCAATTCTCTGTATTCTTCCTACCTCTTAGCCAGAATATCAAGCATTTCAGGGGTTGTCAATAAAAGCACAATACATTAAATTCTCTGAGTTTCCAGAGGAAGGAGGCAGGGAAAAGAAAGAAATGAATGCCTTACTCAAGAGTCTGAGAGTCTATTTGAGACAGGTGTGGGTCTAGTGGAAATGAATCATGAGTATGAGGAGGAAGAATTTTTTAATGTCACTGTCCATGTTTCCCGATTAAAATGAGGGCATTTGCATCATGTTCTAACTTCCAAATATAAAAGCAGCTAAGAATTTCCAAGAAACCTTATATTCTTATTCAAGAACAAGAAGAATCGAATGGGTTAGAACTCAAATATTTCAATATAAAAAGCATTATGTAGCACAATACTATCATTCTGATAAATCTTGTTAGCTGTTTGGTTAGTATTTTATAGTACTGTAAATGCATATTTGATTAAAAAATATTTCAGAATAAAAAACTTAAGTCATTGGTTAGTTTTCAGAATAAACAAATATGTGAATGGTTAGGACTAACAATACACACACTTTCCTCTTAGAACTAGTTTGTTAAATAATATCTTTAGGCATGCTTTTAATAATGCTTAAGTTTTAAATGCACATATTTAAAAACAAGGCAACATAGAAAACAACACTAAGAGAAAGGGAGCACTTCCCCATATAGTGTGCTTGTTAAAATTGCTCAAAAATAAATTATTGCATGTTTGTTTTTAGCATACAAAATTCAAAACATTGCTAAAAATCACTACACTGATCTTTTGAAAATAAGATGCTAACAATTTTTTATGAAGCTAACTACTTAGTCAATATTCAGAATTTTTTCCTCATGCTAAAAATACTTTACATATTTTAAATCAAAACTCCTTGGATATGCAAGGGAAAAAAAACTGAGAAAATGTGACATTTAGTGGAAGGAACAGTAGCTTTGGAGCTCTGGGATCTGGCTTGACTTGTGACACAAAGCATGTCACCCAAGCCTCTCTGAGAGCCAGGGTTAATCCTAACAGATGAGCTCCCCTGAGAGCAAGTGTGAGAATAATTACCAGTATAAATATGATAGAATGGAGTCCTCTCAAAAAAGAGATTCTTCTTTAATCTATATCTGGTAGAATCTTACTGAGTAAAAGTCTTAAAGAATAATTTGACCACAGCTTTAACTTAAAATGTAGCCAGAATCCAGCCACTTCTCACTGTCTCCACTGCTGTCTCCCTAACTCCAGGCACCTGCATCTCATACCTGGATTACTGCGCTCAGTGGTCCCCAGGCCCCATCCTTCCTCACTACAACTGCCCCTAGCCTAACCAGAGCGATTCTTTTAAAGCTATAGTCAAATCACATATGCCCACTGCTTTGACTCTCCAATAGCTTTCCATCTCACTCGAAATAAAATTCCAAATCTGAATTAACCTGTAAGGGACCTGCATGATCTGTCCACCCCACTCCTTGATTGTTTCTCCTGCCACTGTGTCCTTGTTCACTCGGTCTTGAGTATAACGGCCTCCTTATCCTTCCTCAAACACCTAATAACATTCTTGCCTCAGGGCATTTGCACCTGCTGTGCCCCTGGTCTGGAAAGCTTTCCTTTGTACATTCATGTTATTCACACAACCCTTTCATTCAGGTCTCAGCTCAAACACTACCGTATCATAGAGGTCTTTCTTGGTAGCCTTATATAAAATTTCACCCCCCACTTCCATCATTCCTTTATTTCTCTCCTTAATACTGTGTTTCCCTGAAAATAAGACAGGGTCTTATATTTATTTTTCCTCAAGAAGACACCCTAGGGCTTATTTTCAGGGGATGTGTTATTTTCCCCTCAAAGCCTCAGCTTCCAGCACGCACAGGACGGCCGGGACCCGACAGGGGGAGCCGACCTTGTTGGTGGGGCTGCCCGCACCTTTCCGGTCACCTCTGGGATAGTCGCTGTCACGATGGGGCAGATGAGAAGGGTTGTTGTCTTCTTTACCGCCCTGCGACAACATGCATGGGTTGTGCAGACGCGCTGCGCAGCCACGCCCGTCACTAGGTCTCATTTTCGGGGTAAATGCTTCTATTGCGCAAATGCTTAGAAATCCTGCTAGCACTTATTCTATGGGTAGGTCTTATTTTCGGGGAAACACGGTACTTATGGCCACCTGATTCATTATATATGTGTTTACCATGAATAGGAAATTTGTCTGTACAGACAATGAGATCATCAAAGAATAACCTTGAGAAACAAATGAATTATATAAAATAGAAATAATAGTATAAGACTAGGAGAAGAGGTGATTATGGAATACAAGAAATAGATGTGATCCTAGATGCCTCTGAGACTGACTGACACCCACTCATTCGTTTATTTGACAAATATTTATTGAGTACCTATGTAAGTCTGCACTTTTCTAAATGCTGAGAAGACAGTGGTAAACAAACAGACAAAATTCAAAACTAGACCAAGACCACTCTGCTGAGTGATGGAGATCTTGCCTTTAAGGTTTTCTACTGATGAAAATACAATAACATGAGGAACAGTGTTGTAAGGACCCTGAAAGGGAACAGAGCTGAAAGGTTACTGGAATTTAAAGAGATTAAGCTCAGCAGTGATACATAGGGGAGGTGTATCAGAGAAGGTGGCATTTGAGTTGGGCAATATTTGGATATTCAGAGGAGTAAGAAAAATTCATTCCAATTGGAGGAAATAGCAAACTTGGGAGGTATGTGGAAAACAGAACAATAGGTTCACATAATAATGGGAAACCTTGGGTTATTATTGTTTGTACATTTAAATTCTTTATAAGAGTATGCTAACCCTAATATACAATATGACCTAAATTTAAATGCACTTGTATATGTACTTGGAAATATGTACTTAAATATTTTAAAAATCTGCTGTTTTTCCTACTTTTATAACTTAAAAAATATTCTTAATGTTCAAGGTATTTTAGAAAATTTAATAAGTAATAATTACATACTATTGTAGCCAATATGAGCATATCTAGCTTTGAGTCCTTGCATAAAAAAACTATATAAATTTAAAAACATTCTTTATGTTCAGTGTAATCAGGAATTGTGCCACACACTTCAAGTTACTCTTTAAATATGTTAATGCTATCAAATATTTGCTGACAAGGTGGGATGCTCGCCTACATATGCATGTTGAGATACTTGGTATGTTTTGTATGCCCAGAGACTATAAATATGGAGAACTTGCTAAGAACCCTTAGGGTGAAAGTGCTCTTCCATTTTTGTGTTTCAAATGACAAGGAACATTTTATCTCCCATGTATAATTTGCGATTTTACTGTAAGTTTCTTGATCCATTGCATCGCGAGCAAACACATGGCAAAGTAAGGCATGCCACTTCCAATTAGATGTCAGCATTGAGCATTTCCACATTGGAAAGCATCTTTCCCTTTGTATAGTTTCTTTCTTGAATGACAAATATCAACAGCCCTCTGCAAGGTGGATTTTGAGTACGGCAGAGTGATTATAGGGGGTGTCGGGGGCCCAGGCAACATCAGCCAGAGTGACCGGGCATATACTCTTGGGAAGTCCATGTGCAGATTAATGACTGTGAGTTTTTCCTACGTAGGTTGCATTTGCTTTTTACACTTTGAAATAATAAAATCATACCAGGCCTGAAACTACACTCACTTAAACATGTGCTCCAAATGTGTAAATGAGGACTAAGATGAGAAGAAAAATAAACAACTTCTTGTTTTTAGTCTTTTGTTTAGAGAATAAACACTTTGGGAAAAATACAAGTTATTAATATATGTCATACTTGAACCCATATTTCATTTTTGGCAATTACAGTAATTACCTCATCTGAACTGGTGCCTTTCATCTTTCCAAAATGTGAAATTTGATCCCGCCATAATTTTCTTCATAATCCTCGAATGACTGTTGAGTGCTTGATACAGCAAGTGTTCGATGAGCATGGTTGTGTAAATGAACCATGTGCTCACAAAAGAGCTAGAAGGGATTCTCAGAATAAAATGATACACATATATGTTGAGTTCCACTCTGAGAATGGAATATCATATAAATGTCTCTGTAAACCCGTGATCTTTTGTGTGAATTCTGTCTGCAGACTGACATTGGACTTGAGCTGCAACTAACTCTGGGTCTCTGAGGGCCAACCCTGCAGATCTTGGACTTGCTAGTGTCCAGTCACATGTGTCTGTTCCTTCCCTCTCTCTCTCTTTCTCTTTCTGTCCATTCATACATGTGTATATACATACATACATGTAGAGAGAACCTGTTTCTCTAGAGAACTCTGACTAACACAGAACAGGTAAATGTCTTGAAGATGGCTGTCTAAATACCGACCAGCCTCTTCAGATATCTTTTGCTGTGGGACTCCCTGATAGATTCTATCATAGACTCCTTCTTAAAATTGTTTTAGAACTAGGTCAGTAGAAAGCTATCAGATGTGTATGTATCAGCTTTGCCCTGACACTAAGGTCATTCCAACATGCAGGAATGACTTTCCCAGCAGTCAGCCCTGCATCTCTAGATGTCTGTGCTCACGGGCAGCACCTTTGAGGCTATTCCTTCTACATCCACGGCTGTCCGTCCTCCTGTTAGCTGCCTTGTGAGGCAAAGCAGTGGTATCAATGGAAGAACCAAGAACAGAAGCTAATGGAGAAAAAGCATGAGAAAATACTATGTCCCATCAACATTTTGAGCAACATTGTTTCTACTCTCTGCAAAAATTAATTAAAACTACATGGTAAAATGATGTGCCTGGAAATGTTCTTGTGATTTGATGGTAAAGAACTTTTACATGTTATTAGAAGGCTTTCATCAAATGTGAATCTCAGCTGAGATTCTCATTTGATAAAAATCACATCTTTCCTATGACAAAATATTTTTCTATGAATAGACATTTTGCCATGTCCTGGTACTTTAAGTGTCTATGATAGTTTGGCAGTTTTAGAAAGAGCCTCTGTAGAAGTGCTGGGTGGAATCCTTTATTTCAAAGCACGCACTTAATTGGATGGCGAATCCAGAGTTGAAGTGATTGGTGGACAGGAGGTTGAGGGGCGATTTTGTGGGGACAGGTTTGGGTAGAGGATTGATTTACTCCACCCTTTATGGTTTGGTTCCCTGTAGATAAGTGTGGGGGGAACAAAAGGCCCATTGCCCCTGATGTAAATGCACACGGGCTCTTCACCCATGGTTGGTTCTAAGCGGAGATTTCTGGAAGTCACTTCAACCCTTGGTAACTCTTCACTGTGGACAACTCTCTCCTCATTACCATGCTGGTTATTTCTTAGCTTTCTTTATGAATATTAATTTAGATACAGAATTAAAGCTACAATTTTTTAACTTTACTACTTTATATTTTATTACCATTTATTTCTTTATGCAGGAAAAGTTTCTGTCCCTCCTCCTGACTTTTCACGTGCAGTGAGCTCCACTAAACACTCTGAGCTCTCTTACTCATCTCCTCCAGGCAAGCATTTCATTGAGAAGTTTGGAAGGAAGAACTGGGCATGTGAGCCTGCATAGCTCCATGGCTTCTTTTTCTCTCCTATTGTCTCCTTCTCTCTCCACCTCTCTCTCTGTCTCTAGCTCTCGGCTCCCCGTCTCTGTCCCTGCAGAGCTGTTCTGCCTACAGAATGCATGCATTCTCAGACGACCTCTCCATGCTATGATTCTCCAGCCCATGTGTCTGAATGCGTGAGCCGCATTCTTCAAAACGATCAATGGTAGCAATGATAAAGGCGATATTCTATCTGTTTTGTTTTTTATTGTATTTCAGACCTTGAGTGGGGGAGCAGGATGCTATTTATTGACTACTTCAAGAACCCCAACTCTCTAATTCTTTGCTTGAAACAAACAAAAAACCAAACATGTCCTTGTTTTCTGCATGGAATGAAGTATTAAGAACACCAACTTACCTATATTTTATACTATTATTATAATACCTTACTTTCTTTTTAATTGTGACTCAGAAATATATGGGTACCAAAACTTAATTTGACCAATTCTTATTTTTTTATTTTTAAACAGCTTAAATTAATTTCTTCAATAGCTGTGCTGATACTTCATTTTTTAAAGTAAAAGGGGAATATGTACCTAAATGAGGAAAATAAGTCAAATGAATACAGATTAAGACTTTTGATGGTAAACGCCTGTATTATACTTTCCTTTGTTCTTTGAGGGAATATAAATTTGACCAAAAACAAAGCAAAGAGCTTTAATAATTTCCCTTTTTATGTTTTATCACAGATTGTGCAATTTTACAGAATTGACACATGTGGCCGTTACCTCCTCATCACATTAAAGCACTTAAGGAGGAAGGTAGAGGGTGACGACTATACCCTGCTCTCTGTTATGATTTCTTCATTCCTGCCTTGAGTGTTACCATGAATTCATGGGTAGTTTTTCTCTCCAATGTGAAAAACCATTAAAACTAAGAGCAGAATAAAAATCCACCTTCTCATTTACTCTTTCAGCAATTGAAAGACCCACACCACTCTCATGCCTAACATTCAACCACATAAAACTATGGCAATTTAGTAAAACTCGTGACACTGGCTGTACCGGGGCAAAGCAATGCATTGATACGCTAACGGACGTAATCTGAGAACATACGTGTGTCACAGTCTACGCTGTAGAGGTGACTCATAAGGAGACATACTGGTGCTGAGAGGCTCACCAGGCCCAACCGACCGTGTTAGCAGGAGGAACGACACACTCCGAAGGGAACCCTATGGTGGCTTTATCACAGCCACTGGGACCTACTAGAATGCCATTTCCACAAAAATG